AATTAATTAAAAAAAAAAAAAGAGAAAAAAAACTTTCATTGTTCAACAACTCTAAGAAATATTAACATCTCAGCAAATAGCTTTACAGTCTTTTCTAGATGCACAACTTTCCCACATATTTATACTCTCCTTAAATATATAAAATATTGTATCCCTGACTTTATTTAACTTAATACAAGCATTTCCCTAATTAAGAAAACAATTAGCTGTGAACCACATTTTATGAAGCTGATATGATGTACCATGTTCTATATAACCTTCCCCTATCACTGAACACTTAGGTTGTTTCCAAGTTTCTACCAGTGAAAATAGTAAAATTTTATCTGCATAAACTGCTCTCATCCCCCAGCATTACTTAGGATAGGGTCCTAGCAATTAAGATGATTGGCTCAAAAGGCATGAAGATTGGAAAGGTTTTCATTCTTGAGCTATATTACATATGTGGCTTCATACCATGCTGGTTGGAACATCCCCACCAGCAGATCTAGAGGGCTCGATTCAATTCACACCTGACAAAATGGGGTTTACTTTATTTCATTAGTCTTCTATACCCTCATCTTAATCTTCCTCTTTCCCCTGTCTGCATTTCAAAACAGAGAAAAAAGTGCACCCTTCTAAACACTGTCTCCTTTTGCTTTTTAACTTGCTACCAGAGGAACTATTTTTACAATTACTCAGCACTGAAACCGCAGACTTATTCCCATGGCTGACTGGATAAGGGGGATAAAGAAATGAGAGAAATAAAAATTGTATGGAATTTTCCTTTGAAAAGTCTCAGGATTTGGACCATTGCTTTCCATTTTATGTTCATCACTCCAAACCAACTACAACTCCCATGTGGCCTCTTAGGGTTTTTTTCTCCTTCTATCTCGTTCACCCTGCACTCTATTGTCAGAATACTCTTTCATAAACACAGAGCACATCATGCAAATGTCCAGCAGATAAAGTCTCAATGGTCCTCTATTTCTTATATAACCTCTTTGCCTGGCTCTCAACGTCCAACCACTACCCATCAGCAAGCAACCCTTATCTTTCTAGGTCTTCCTTCCCATTAACTTCATCTTCACTTTGCCTGCCTGCCTTTCCAAAGAAGCAGGCTGAAGGAACATGCATTCGACACTTATATTTTAACAGAGATAGAACTTGCCACTTATATGATGATTCAGAGCTGTCACAGGACCTTCCAGTGCTTATCACTGTAATGTCAATTGGTGAAAGTGCCTATTAATAAAGGTTTCTGGCTGATGGCATTTTGAGATGATAGTGTATTCTGAATTTCTGGTCTCAATCTATCACAGCGGAAGCACATACTTCACCTTGAGTTTGATCGAGAATGAGGACTCTGGACTCTGAGACTATTCAGTCTGTGCAGCTATTGCGTAATCTTATGCTTAATATAATCACAATCCTTTAAAAATTCTGGCTTTTGTGGACAGCACTTGCATCCACCTTCTAGCCCAACTGTGCTGTATTAAGCTTTCTCAGCTGGTAGTTGCTCTGCTTTCAAGGGAATGTTTAACTCAGAGCTTGGCAAAAATGGACTTCTATTCTGTTGGCTACAGAGTACAACGCAGGTCAAGTGGAATTTTTGGCACTTCATTACGTTCCCTGACCCTTACTAAACAAACTTCAAAATATATATATATTTGCAGCAATTTGGAATAAACACTACACACAAGTGTTGATGGTAGATTTTCTGAAGAACTACCAAATGCATCAAGACTAAGGAAAACATTCTAATGATTCTTTCAAAGATGAATACGTTTAAATTCTCGTTAAACAATCTTCTTATTTAGCCTTCTCAAGCTTTGATGACATGCCACGATTGGCTGTTTATCAAAAACTTAACAAGAAATGCTTAACAAGATATAATCATGTGCACACACTTCTGCATAATTAAACCCCGTTTACAAATCATTGCAGGGTGGAATATGGTCACACCACTCAAGAAAGGCGGGTGGCTAGCAAATAACACTTTTTTCTCCATCTGTAATGAAAAATCTTATCATGTGAATGCTGTGAAGGTGACATAATCATCTGATCTTAAATCTTAGTTAAAAACATCTATTTCCATCTCAACTGAAAGTTCTAACAAAATTAGGAAATTAATTTAAATATAAGAAACATGATCAGGCACTAACTGTTAATACTGGGATTGTTGGCATGAAGGTGGAAGATTCTCATCCTTTGAAGGTTTTTAATTGGATAGATTCTCATCTGTGTGTGTTTTTTTCAAAGTAGGATTTAGCTGATTCTCAGTTTCTTCATTTTATAGCTGTTCTTTCAGTTGGAAAAAAAAAGGAATAATTGAGACTGAGTAATGGATATTTCTCAAGATCTCTGAGACTAGGTATTGCACAGCATTAAAGAGTACACTTTTCCATTTGTTTTACGACTTTGTCCAGTTAAAGTTACTGAGATAAGCACTCCAGTATTTACTTGTAACTTGAAACCCCTTTCATGGTGTGTCTGGATCCTAAGGGAAAAGAATTAACATTTGAGGAATGCTTACCTTGTGCCAGGCTTTTTATATGCATTATCTCATTTAATTCTCATAACCACAAGATACGGTTGATATTATTTAATCTGATTTTATGTGCTTGAGATCATGAAGGGAGTATAAAGTATAGAACAAGAATTTGACTCTAGCTTTCTCTCTTTATTTTTTTGAAGCCCAAGATCATTTCACTTAACCACACTGGGTTTCCCACTGAAGCCAGTAATGTGGAGGTGACAAAAAGGGGCATTCTAACAATAAGAGATGTTCTGAACTTTGACATAGGTTCCCCTGTGGGAGTAAAATAAGTAAGAAGCAAATATGATGAATTAGATTGAAACATGTTCCCTAACGCAGTGTCCGGTGAAGTGAATTATGGACCATCCATACCATGGAGTACTATGCCATGAAATGGAAAGCTGTTCATGAGTTGCAAAACAGTAGATGAACAATATGTGCAGAATGATATACTCTAATGCAATAAACAACCACACAGAGGTATGTATGTCCTTAGGAACAGGTCTGGAAGGGTAGATACAAAAATGTTAGTTGCTTCTGCTCAGCAGGCTAAGAGTGACTAGTAGGCAAATCTGACTTACATGCACGACAGTTGCTTAAATTTTGTGTGTGTGCAATTCTGCACATTACATTTACAATTAAAAATCATGTAGTGGATGAGTTGAATAAGCTGTAGGAATGACTCAACCTAAGGCATGGGTGATTAAAGAGATTTAATCTCACAAAAGCAAAACGGCCCAATCTATCTGAAGCTCTGTCAGGCTTCAACATTACTATATGCATATGGTGAAAGCTACAACCTCATCACTTGTATTGCACTTTGCATTATCTGAAGAAGGTGTTAACAGAAGGCAAATGAGGAACAGTCATTTCAAACTTAACGTGTCCAGAATGAAGTTCTCCAGTCGGCTCTTCCTATTCAGCCCGTCCTCCTCCAGTTTTACCCATGTGTGCCGCACTACCATTTCTCCACTTGCCCAAACCCAAACCCTAACAGGCACACTTAATTTCTCCTTTCCCTTCCCCACTGCACCCCAACCATCAGCAAATCCAATCTGATCCATCATCAAAATACCTCTTTAAGGCCTCCACTGAAGTCACCATTACTTCTTGCCTGGACTACTATAGTCTCCTCCGTATAGGTTTCCCTGCTTTCACTTTTGCAAATCATTCTCCACCTGTCAGCCAGGGTGATCTTGTATATCCCTCAATTTAGCACTCTTTATGGCTCTTCACTGTATTTAGAATGGAATTCCACTCTCTCACTGTGGCCCACAAGAACCTATGTGATCTTACACTGGTCCAACATCTATGACCTCAACTCCACCACCATGCCCCTTGTCCATTAGGCTCTAGCCCGCCTGGCCTGCTTTCTGCTTTGCAAATACATCAAGCTCTGTGCGGCCTCTGGGTCTTTACACTGTCTTTTTTTCTTCCAGAAATACTCTTCTTTTAGCTGTTTACATGGATGGCACCTTATCAATGTGAATCAATGTCTTACAGACGAAGGAATTGGATATCAGAGAGTTTAAGTAACTTATTTGTGGTCATCACTCTTGGTATGTGGTGAGGCTAGGTTTTGAACTCATGTCTGAATCATTTCAGGCTCTTGCCATTATACTAAATAACAAAGTAAACCCAGCCCATCCCAGGGCTCTGGCTACAGTTCTGACAATCAATCAGCAAACATCTACTTGTTGAAAAGCCAGAAAAAAGAAAGTATTTTAAATACTGTAGGTTCCCCTTCCTACCTCTAGTACATTCCCCAGCTTCTGCAGGAAGACGTAGATCAGCTGGAGAGGGAAATCTGAGATCAATGCATTCGGAAACTCTTGTATTAGAGATTTGAAATTAAATATTGCTCATTTAGGAAATGAGACTGTGACAGAAGAACCAGAAACTTTGCAACTTACTTAGTTAGGTGTCCAAAGAGGACTTTCATGGTGTCACGATTTGGTGGAGGGAGTTTTTGTACAAGAGACTTTATAGTTTCAATTCTTGTGTTATTGTCTTGCTTTTCTGGAAAAAAAAAAAGAAATTAAAAAGGAAGGTTAGAAAAGAATGATATTTCTTAGGTGCATGAGGGAATTTTCTTAGGAGAATTCTGGACTAAGTCTGAGCAACTTAAAGTTCTTATTAGCAGCCAAAGGGAACAGTTATACTTGAAATCAGGATCATGAAGTTTCTTTATTTTGACTCTGAATTAGATCATGGGAAAATGAAAGCAGCAACAGTGTGGCTCTGACGCGATCTTCTTATTAAGATCAGGTATTACATCCGTTTTCATAAATGCTTTATTATTTTATAAGTTGTGGCAGGGTAAATAATGGCCTTCCAAAGATGTCTCTGTCCTAATCTCTGGAACCTGTAAATGTTACCTTCCATGGAAAAAGGGACTTTGCAAATGTCATTAAATTAGGGATTCTGAGATGGGGAGATTATTCTGGATTATCTGGGAGGCCCAATGTAATCACAAAGGTGGCTAAGAGGGAAGCAGAAGGGTCAGAGTCGGAGAGAGAGGGGATATGACAATGAAAATGAAAGGAGATTTGGCTATGTGATAAAGGACCATGGGCCAAGGAGTAAAGAGAGCCTCTAAAAACCAGAAAAGCTGAGGGAAGAGAGCCTCCAGAAGGGACACAGTCCTGCCAGCACCTTGATTTTTGCCCAGTGAAACTGACTTCACACTTCTGGCCTTCAGGAACGTAAGATAATAAATTTTTATAGTTTGAAGCCACTGAGTTTGTGACAATTTGTTACAGCAACAATATAAAACAAACACACAAGGACATATATTCTCATTCAATTACCAACATTCTATTATTTTGCTTGATTTTGTGGAGAAGTAAAGAATTTTAAAAATTAGTTCTATGCTATCTTTTCTCCCTAATACATTTTGCTTTTGCTGTAAAACAAAAAAGTGCAAATAAATTTGAAAGCATAATGCTTATTCATATACATTTTGTTTTATTTTTTAATTTGTATTTTTTATTGATTTTTAATTTTTTGGTCATATACATTTAAAAAAAATAGGAAGTTGTTCAAAACTGCATACCATATTGGTTGTTTTCCTTCATTTTGTTTCTTTTTGCCTTTCCGGGCGTGGGTGGCATAAGAAGAACTGAGTGACTTAGTACGCTAGAGAATTTATCTTACCATAGTTTTAACCAGGGCCCAGAATTATAATTACTTCTCAAACTTAAACTCTTTAGATACACTGACTCAGGTGCCTTTCCTTTCTATACTTTAACTTCTAGCACAGAGCTCCTGATGATTCTAAAGAGGCCACTGCTGGAAAAGATGACAGATAAGAGAATAATATGTAAGGCACCCACCCACGCAATATCCATTCTCTTCTTCTTTAGCTAGACAATCCCGCTGTTGAAGGGATGGCCACATCCTTCATCCTAGCTTCCTTGCTTGGCAGCTGGAATGACCGTATGACAGAGTCCAGCCAATGAGAAGGCAAAGTGTTATGTGGGACTTCCAGGGAGGCTGTGTGCAGGAGGCTAATTTATCTTTGTGGCCCTTTGGGCTTTCTGCTCCTCAGAATGTAGATGGCATGGTTCTGCCATGAGATGACCTTGAGAACTGAGGCTATGCAGAGTGGGACACACAGTATAAAGAGCTTCCCTGAATCTGTGGAGCAGTCAGACCAGTCCTGCACTGTTGGTCTCTGAGTTTCTTTAACATAGTAAGTCCTTGTGTACTGAAGCCTTTGAAGGTGGGTCTCTAAATCAAACATACTTCCTAATACAGTGTGCTTCCAAAAGCCCAGTTCATAATCACCTGTTATTAGGTATATAAACTTTATACAGTGGGGCAAGAAACAGTTAGTGTAGAAACTGGCAGGGTGTTTTGTTTTCCTTTTTTTAAATACACTTTTGCAAAAGAAACTTTTTATAAGGAATTACAGGAAAATATCCTGCAGAAGATAGTATTTGGCTAAAGTAGGGTGGGGGCAGTCTTCCTAGTAGAACTCTGCTTGGAAGCGTTTCTTCTTCTTCCTGAAACCACAGAGGTCTATAAATAATGCCTCCCACAGTCTGAGCTTTCAAAACTGCACTTACTCTTAGAAGAGTTCCGGAATAATATGGATTGGACAACTGCAAATGAAAGAGACAAAGAGGAGAGAAAAAGAGAGAGAAAAACAGAAAAGCCAGTTGCAACATCACAGCAGACAGCAGATCTAATCTTTCTGCTAAAGGGTAGAAAGCCACCTTGTAGCTTAATGATGGTAAGACAATGTGATGCTTCACAGGACCAGTTGGAGCCTATAGGATATGAGAAACTCAGAAAAAGAAGGAAAACAAAGTCAAGAAAGATGAGAGTGAAATTGGTACAGTACATTCAGGACAGAGCACTTAGGGATACTTGGATACCTTGTGTCTAGCCATCTGAAGCTAATGCAACACACCAATGATCATATACATAAACAGGTACATATACATACATTTATATATTTACGAGATGGGTATATTCTGCATAGTTTGGCATGATGCTAGTAGTTTAATTTACCTAAGGATCTGCTGAACTACTTGATTCAAGCAATTAAGATGAAATTAGGAGAGGTGAGGGAGAGGAGGGAAAGGAAGGAGAGGACACCTTTCTAATTTCACTGAAGTCTCTGGCCATGGTTATGATTAGGTCAATGTCAGAGTCTCCAAAAAAGGGATCTGTTGACATTGAGGACTATAGGAGTAGTGGCCATAATCTAAGCCTGACAGACAATAAATGGAGAGTGGTCTAAATGGCTATATCCAGCAAACCTCAGTTTTAGGGAAATATGCCCCAGTCTGGGTAGGTTTAAGAAAGGCTGGCGTTGCTTAATTGGAAATACTTGAATGTGCAAGGTCACTGCCATGGTGCCTGGGCAGGAATTAAAACTTTAGTTTGTCTGTTTAACCACTAGGTAAAAGAATTATGACCTTCCCTAGACAAAGTCCCTGTTCTATGTTCCATTGCACTTAGGACATTCTACGTAGATAACATTCTGCATGATATTTTCATGGCTTGAATGCCGTTCAATTTTTCCTATTAAACTGAGAATTTTCCCATAAACTGAGGCAGCTCTTATACTGGTATATAGTGGGTTAAATGAATAAAGAAAGAACTAGTGAACAAAGGAAAGACATGAACACAGATTGGAACAGACAGACCTTGGTTTGAATTCTGTAACAGCTTTTTATTAGCTGTGTGGTCTTGGTCAAGTTTCTTATTTTCTTTGAAAAATGTCTGAGGCCAATTTTATGGATTGAACTAGATAGTATGTAATGAACCTAACGATGACTAGTAAAAGGTAGGTACTCCATAAGTGTTCACCCCTGCCCCCCCCGCCACCTTTTTTGAGGCCCATGCTGGGTATGGTTCACCTTTTATCTTCAGCAATGAGCATACTACCTGGTTGCAGTGAGCATTCAAAATGTAGTTTCTAATACTTGAACTGAGTTGGTGCCAGTGGGTGACGATACACTTGCTATGGTAGCCTGACATTTTACAACACACTAAATAACTTGTGGTGGGCAGAGAGACTGATGATCTGATTGATGAGCAGCTCAGTTCCATGCAAGAATTCTTATAAAAGTACATGGTGGTTCCCATATCTGCTTGTAAGAAACATCCTACGCAAAGAATACTTTATAGAAACATTTTTCTCTCTTCCTCTGCTTTCACACATAATTGAGGAACTGGAATGAATGGTGGTATATACATATTTGTGGCTGGGTTACACTTAAGTAGTGGAGGGGGTACTGGACAATGGCTTAGAGAGGGCTGAAATATTATCAAGGAGGAGCAATTTATTGTTCTTACAAAATAATCAGAACAAAATCTTTGAAAAGGTTATAGGAAAGCAGTGGTTTCCCCTTCAAATCAATACCATACCCACTCTTCCATAGCTTGTAAAATCAGGAAATAACACAAACACTTCTAAGTAGAGGAACATCTAAAAATACAGTTGGATGCATTAAAATCAAAATGACACCTTTTCTGATCTGGTTTATTGATGTGTCATATTAGGAGCTGGAATCAGCATACATAATACAGCAGTGGTTAATGAGCTAAGATTCAGACACAGTTTACTACAGATGCGTCAACTGTCTTCAACTGATTCAGTGAGCATCTGAAAGACAGCATTTTCTATTAATATTTCTCCTTCAGCATATGGTTTCTCATTCTTGTGAAGTATTGAGAGTTCTGAGAAGACTTTGAGATATCTCTGACTCTTTTACATTATGTCTAAAAGGGGGGAAATGAACCTTTTCTACATGGAGAATTAGAGAACCTCTTAGGTAAACTGTATACTAAGAGACTTATACAAAATCTTGCCAGTAATTAAAAAAACCCTCCATGATTCTTTCCTTTTTCACTCACATTTGCTCCTACGTTCATTCCCTTATAATTTAATTTTGTATCTACTCTATGTTCTCTAATACGTCCGTTTTAGTTCCCACCCAGATCCCAATAGCCTCTCCAATCTCTGAGCTGTGAACCCACATTGCATACAAAATCTTTCTGTAGTGCTTCATTCTTGCTACCCAATAGTAGCAAAAATGTCTATGTAAAAATATGCATAGTGTACATGTACATATTGAGATAGTAAACTGTTTTTTACTAATGCCTATTCCTCACTCACCTGGCCCCATATTCTCAAACTACATTAAACTCTTTTGTAAATGAGCTTCTTCAAAAACAACTCCAGGCCAGTTAGAGAAGTAACAGCTCCTACACGATGTGAAATAGCCTTTAATGTTATGGTAAGGATGTGGCTTTACAGTTTTCCTCTGATTCATGGTTTTGAGGACACATTTTTAAAAATATGGTTTATGATGCATTTGCATTTATCTGCATGAAATGTTGCTACTAAAACAAGGACATTTACAACCGAATGCCTTTTTTTGCAGAGATAAGAGAAAGTTATACAACGATGGAAAGAGTTCTGTGCAGTGCAAAACCCTGGACCTGGTGACCCCTGGACACTTTTCCGGCCTTATCATCTATGCATTTATTATTCTTAACTT